CCCCCCCCCCCCCTTCCTCTCTCTTTCCAAACCTATCGTAAGTTTCCAAGAAGATTCTGTGCATACAGGGCGCTATCCTGCCGACAACTCCAGCTGTAAGAACGCAGCGCATCGCTGACTGCTGACGGAGGAGAACGGACCGATCCGCCAGCAACAACAGAAGAGGCAGCACGAACGGCCCCACCACACTGTGGATGGGGCGGGTAGTTAAAATTTTCGAGCGTTGTCGTGGTGAGAGGGGGGGCGGAGCTGGAGAGCGGCTGTGGCGTTGTCAACCACCCGCGGCTGACCAACCGCCCGGGCTCCAAGCCTTGACTGGCCCTCCGCTTTCGGACGACGGACACCATTGCGAGAAAGATTATCTACGCCCTTCGCCTCTAGCTGGGAGGCGCTCATAACCGCCACCGCGTCGTGGGGGGGAGAACACTGCTGCGGCCGCCGCCAGACCTGGTTCAGGAGCGGCGGTCCCCAAGCCGAGCCGCCGGCAACCGAATGTTGCGCCCGGTCCGAACCGAGTACAAGCCGCCGTCGCCGTCGCCGTTGAACTCTCCTTCGCGCCTTCCCGCCGGCGCCGCCGCGGGGTGGCCGGGCGGTAGGGGGAGGGGCAGCGGCAGCAGCAAGGGGCAATGGTGGCGGGGAGCTTTGGTCGGGGCGGTCTCTGCCCTGATCGCGTGCGGCGCGGGGAGGGTGCTGCTGGGCGGCGGTGGCGGCGATGGCAGTGGCGGTGGGAGTGACGACACCTGGGGCCTTGCTGAGGAGGAGACCAGGAGCCACGGCGAGCGCTGTCCGGTGAGATTCGCTTTTTTGTGTGTTCTTGATTTTTGTTTTTTTTCATGTCTGACTGCTGTTGTAGGGTGTGAAGGCTTTGGCTAGCGGTGTCTTGATAAGTATCCGCCGAGACAGGGCCAACGAAACGAAAATCGTGTACAAGGATGATAAACGTCCGTAAAAATGGGTTTCTTTTTCGTTTTGCCGCACGACGCGAAATCTGCTGTGACTCGGTCATGCCACCCACAGCGACGGCGCCACCGCGGCCGCCGCCGCCGGCCTTAGCTACCCCGACCGTCTCCCGCGCTGGCACACAGCCTTCCCCCTCATGATGTTCCTGGCGTGAGCGAACACCTCAACCCCACAGCGAGGTGACCAGGATTCCGTCGCCATCTTTTCGACGTTTTAGCAGAGGCGAATCGCCGAATCGAACAAGCGAGTCCTGCAACATCGCTCGTAACCGACACTTGATGGAGGCTTTCCGCGTTGACTCTTAAGGCTTTCTTTCCGCGAAACCTGCTCACACGCGCCCGCTATTTTTGGTCGGCATAGGAAACTCAGCGTCGGAACGGTTGGTCAACGCCCCGCCTGGGAAACCATGGGGCTCGCGGGAGGCGGGAGGCAAACCAATAGTTGCGTGACCATCTGTTGTTTTTTTGCTACAGTTGGGAGGGAAGCAAGTGCGCCCGTCACCACTCGCCCCCCCCCCCCCCCCCCCCCCCCCCCCCCCCCCCCCCCCCCCCCCCCCCCCCCCCCCCCCCCCCCCCCCCCCCCCCCCCCCCCCCCCCNGTTTTTTCATGGGCTTTCCATGTTTCTTTTTTTCCTGGAGGTGTCACCAGGTATGCATATTTGTGATGCACTACCCGGTATGAGTTTCTCATGGTTTTTCCATGAGTTTTTTCATGGGTTCTCCATGGGTTTTCTTCCTGGGGTCATCACTACATGACGTATGCATACTCGTGCTGCACCAGGTTTTTAACGCCGTCACGGGGGAGACGAAGGTTCCGGACGATTCACCACCGAAGAAGATCGAGGTGGGTGCCTTGTCGAGTCGCCGCACTACTGTTGCTGTTCTTTGACTTCTAGAGAGGTGTGGTACCCTTCTCCAGGGGGTAGTTTGCTTGTGACCAGTGCGGGTATTAGAAGGTACTGAGAGGCGACCGGAACGTTTTTTTTTACATGAAGACAACAACAACAACAGCAACAACCAACAACAACTACTGTTCATCGGTTTTGTATTGTATGCACCAATTCAGCTACATTCTCCTTCCGTAGGCCGTGCCCCAAACCATTCCCCACCCCCGGCTATTCCGCTACCGTAGTACGACCAGTTCACCTGCCAAGTCGTCTGGAAGCTGCTGGATGGCACGGCCTCTCCATCTGGACGTGGCTGTATTCCAACTGCGTTTGTCGAGCAAAGAATTTGACCCCATCCTGCGTCTATTGTCCAAGCTACCATCCGTGCAGATATCTCGGGTTTGCAATAGACGAGCTTTGCTGCTTGTTTTCGGGGAATGTTCTCGCCATCTATCCATCTATCTGGGTCATCCGGTGCATGTTCATGGCTGCAGTTGTTTTGTGGACCCAACACCACTCCTCAGAATCTCGTTTATCTCTCTGCCCCCCCCCCCCCCCCCCCCCCCCCCCCCCCCCCCCCCCCCCCCC